GGCAACCTGGGCTAGTGGAAGGTGGCCCTGCCCAGGGCAGGGAGGTTGGAACGAGTTGGTCTTTACTGTCCCTTCCCACCCAAACCAGCCTGCGATTCTTTGTGGTTCACAACTTACGTTTTGGGTTTCTTCTTGAGGTGACTTGTCTTCAGCTCAGGAAGTCTGAGAAATCATGAGTTTCTATAGCCCATCCAAGCTGCACCCTGTTTTTTTGTAATAAGATAATATTTCAGAAGACAAACATTTCCAAAAGTTGCCCTGCAGGTAGCTGCCTCCACCCCAGATGCATCGGAGAGATTTCTGCAGAGGTAGAGCACCGCAGCCTGAGCGATGCTGGCAGCTCTCACCGACCAGCGGGTCTCTTGGGCGCCTGCAGCTCTGATCACGGGTCAGTTTATCAGCACATCCCAAAGCCGACACGTGTATGCGATAGTACTTTGGTTTAAAACAACATTTAATGAGTTGGAGCTGGGTCTTTCGTGGCCGTGCTGCATGGGGAGCGCTCTGCTTGCCCCTCCAAACGTTGCGTGAAGCAGGGATGGTTGTGGACGTACTCTCAGCCATATTTGTGAAGGTGATTCCTTTGTTTCATTTTAATCTTTCTGTGGCACTGGACTCTGTGTGACGGGCGTGTGCGTGTGACACAGAGCAAAGGCCACTTGGAAACACTAAGTACACTTTTAAAAAAGCATGAGAAACGACCTGCTGCTGCTTTTTAAAGCTCCCGTTTCTGTTTCTCAGGTTGTACAGTAGCACGTGAGCGAGTAGCTTTGAAGTTCCCTTGTCCCCGGTGCTGTTTTGTGTTGCCCAGACCCCTTCTGAAGGCCCCTGTCTCGGTCAGGAAGCGTTATCTGATGTGCCCGCTATCAAGCCAAAGCAAGCAGTCGGTGTGCTTTAATTGTCACTTGGCTTGGGAAGCAGGGGCCGTGCAGCTGCTGCCTCGTCTTCCTGCTATTTCTCTCCCCGCATCTTCCTTTCTATTTGATGTGCTCATTTCCAGTTTAGTTTATGTTGCTATTTTCGGTCCAGCTGCGTGACGGCCCTTTGGCTCGCTGCGGCGGTGCCCTGGCTTCCAACCCAGCCTCTGGGCTGTGGGAGCACCCGGGGGACTGGCTGGGGCCCCGAGCTGTGGCACCACGGCAGAGGGGTGCACGGGGAGGCCCCTCTGGGGCTGCCTTTCAGTCTTAATTCCCTGGAGGTGGCTGGGCTTTTCCCAGAGTGAGCAGAAAATGGGGTGGGGTGGGGCGTGAAGAAAAGGAG